TGTGGAAGAAACATCCCAAGTTGTGGTAAACAGGTGACTGGTTCTTCCACCATAAGAACACATCTACCCATACCATGCTGAATGTTCAGCAGTTTTTGACCCAAACCTCCATGCCCCACCCTCCCCATTCACTGGGTTTCGTCCCAGTGATCTTTTTCTGTTTGTTTCCCCAGATGAAAAAAGTCCTGAAAGGGAAAAATTTTGCCAATGTGGAAGAGAAGAAACAAAAAACAGCAGAAGCACTAAACGGCATTATAAGTGATGAGGTCAAAAACTGTTTTGAGCAATGGAAAAAATATCTTAAAAGGTGTATTGCATCAAGTGGAGAGTACCTTGAAGGTGACTGAAATTTAAACATGTAAGAATAAATACACAACTTTTTTATAGATAAATCTTGTGTTTTTGGGGGTCCCCCCTAGTATAATAAAAGTACTGATTTTAATTGAAGGAAGAAGAGAACTGGGACTGTGGAAGGGTCCGAATACTAATCTTCCCCTTAAACACTGGGGTTTACTCTTGGGCCTGTAGGTGTTGTCTGCTCAAATATATATACTCTGCTTGCGTGACATCTTGACTCTTAAGGTTCCCTCCACCATGTCTGTGCACAGGGTGAGCCCAGAATCCTTACCCTAAGCCTTAGAATTATCTCCCCAATATCCTCCAATATACATGAAGATGTGTGGAAGCAACTCAAACAGCATGTCCCAAATTGCATCTACTCGTCCTTCTCACACCCGGACACCAAACCAGCTCCCTGAATCTCAGGTTGATAGTAACATCAAGGACTAAAGTACTACACTGTGGATTGAATGTTTATATCCCCTTCAAATTTCATGGTTAGTGCAACAATATTCAGAGATGGAGCCTTCAGTGGGTGAGGGGTCATAAACGCTCTGCCCTCACAGATGGAATTTAGTGCCTCATAAAAGGGCTTGAGGGGGAGAATGTTCCCCTTCTATGTCTTCTTGCTCTTCTGCTCCTCTGCCATGTGAGGACACAGCATTCAAGGCCGGGAAATCAAACCTGTGGCACCTTGACCTTGACCTTTCCAACCTTCAGAATGATGAGAAAAGCATTACATTGTTTATAAATTAACCAGCCTCAGGTATTTTGTTACAGCAGCACAAATAGATGAAGGCAGGCACCTAATCCAGAAACTTTCTTTACCTCTATTCCCTCAAATCACCTGGTTCTCTTCCTAAACTAGCCTCTTCTGCAATGCTGCTATCACGGCCTCAGATGGAGCCCACCTCATCTTTGAAATCACCTCCTCTTTCACCCTCTGTAGTCCAGGTCCATACTACAGTTGGGGAGCTCTTTCTAAAATGCATCACCTCCTGATTTGTGGTTTTGATATTATAAAGACAAAACAATGTCTCAGGGAGGGGTGGGGAGTCCTGGCAATTGGAAGGGATGAGAAAGAGTGCTCTCCCGCTTTTCCTGCTGTTTTACTGCTCTTGCTGTTTCCTTCCCAGGAATGCAAAGGACTGGCCCCTAAAGGCAGAGCAGATTGGATTATGAATTCTTTAATCTCTTGAGAATTGCTGGAATAGGACCATAGGCTGCTTCACCATGTGGCTCGCCGTGGGCACTCACTCAGTCTCACAAGTTAGGAATGGCCCCTTCTCACTACATCATGCTGCCCGTGCCATTTATTCTGATACAGTTTGGACCACAGCTATGAGGACAAGATGTTTTTCAAGCCTCTGGCTCTGTTTCTATCTACATGTCACTGATGTCCATGCTCACAGATAGTAGGCATTTTTACAAAAGTTTTCTTTACTTCCTGGCCAGCAGCAGTCATTGCCATGACGGTCAAGGCTGGATATACAGAGAGACTGTTCCACTTGTTGGTCTGTAAATGTTCTGGAGCTGCTTCATGTAAGTACAAACTGCCTAATTTTTGTTTACTTATTTATATATTGTTTGCTCCCCCAAGCCCTAGGGGCCTTGTTGCTGTATGAGTATAGTCTCACTTTCCTTTCTAACAGCAAGAGTGAGAGTCAGGGCCTGGTTTTCCATAGTAGCAATGTGGAAAATAAGCACTGAACTGAGTCCCAGGTCTGCTTCCACCACCATCTGCAGGGCTTAGATCACTCACCCAATCCAAGCCTCCATCTGCTCAGTCTTAACATGTAGACAATCATTCTGGCCTAAGCGTTGATATTAGTGGTAAAGAAATATCATGGAAACACTTTGAAATCATTAAAGTGAAAAATAAAAGCAAACAGGAACTCATAGAAAGAAAGCTAATCATCTTGCTGGTAAAGTGATTTGAAAAGAAGATGCTTTTGGCCTTGAGACATTATCTTAGGCCAACACAAAACAACCCAGGAAGTGAGCCTTATTTATACATCATGGTTTCAAGGAAACAAAACAGCAAAATGGTGCAAGGACACAGATATTCTGTACCATTTAGGCTCTACTACAAAGACAAAAGGAGCTCCTCAAAAAGGCACAGAGGCCCAGGGGTACAGATTGGGCTAAGTGGCCCAAACACAGAATGTCAGTAATCTCTTTCACTGTGACAAAACAACCACCTGAGTAGAAAACTCTTCTCCAAATCTCCCTTGCAATAATACATAGATAATGGACCACTAAAGGTCTGTTAATTGGGGATTTGAAAAAAAAAAACCTGCCCAGTCTCTGGCTCACCGTGCCAATTAAGTGCAGCCATGCCTAGCTGTCCAACCCAGAGAAGACCTTTCAAAATTCCCCAGTCAGCCAACGCTGCTTATCTGTTCCAGCTCCTATTTTCCCTGGAAGAAGGTGTATGAAACGAAGCACGGTTCAAGTGCATTAAGAGAGAAATGGGTCAATTTTAGACAAGCAAGCTCTTATGTCACTTATGCTTCAGGTAAAATGTCCATTTTTACCTTGGTGTTAAATCTGGGCCTCATATTGCAACTTGGTTCATGGTCGCTGGTGGATAAAATCATTGGTTGCTATTTGCTCCTTAGCTGGAGCAGAAAAGCATCTGGTTTACATGTTGAGTGAACGTATAGTGAGATGACTTTTCAATACCAAGTGGGTGTCCTACAAGTCAATCTTATTCTGACACTAACCACTCAGAGTAAGCGTCAGATTCCACAGGTTTAAACACTCAGTTCCACACACTGCCTGCACTTCAGACACCAGTTACAAGTCCCAGGAATCCAAGCTACCTCCACTTCTGTCTGCCTTAACTCCAAATTTGGGGGCTTCCACAACCGCCTCAAGTCTGATAATTCATTAGAATAACTCACAGAACTCAGGAAAACACTTTACTTACCATTATCGGTTTATTATCAAGGATACTACTCAGGAGCAATCAAATGGAAGAGATGCTTAAGACACAGTATTTAGGGGGGTACACAACTGTCCTGCTATCCAGAGTACTCTGATGAGTTCACCAACCTGGAAGTCACATGAACGCCAAAGCTTAGGGGTTTTTATGGGTTTTTAGGGAGTTTCTTTATGTAAGCACCATTGATCAAATCATTGGCCATCAGTGAGTGAAAAATCTCCAGCTCTTCTCCCCCTGCCTCCAGGGAGGGCAGAGGTAGGAGTGAAAGTTCCAACCCTGGAATAACATGGTTGGTTCTTCTGGTGACCAGTCCCCATCTTGAAGCTATCTAAGAGTTCACAATGAGTTACTTCATTTGGACAAACTCAGGAAGGGCTGAAAGGGGCTCTCTATGAATAGCAAAGGATCCTCTTATCAGGAATTTTAAGGATTTGGGGATCTCTGTGTTAAAAAGTAGAGGTAAAGCCTAAATATATATCTCTTGTTATAGCACACATAACAAGAGCTGCAGAAAACAGTCTACTAGGAGGACTAATTCTTATTCCAAATTGCTGCAGTTTGAAACAGTGCCAAATAGTTCATTTAGAAGGTCAAGCTCACTTTCAAGGACAAAACAAGTCATTTAAGTCACTAAGGCCCCAAGTCAATGACTTATAAAGTTATTTCCTGAGGGATACCTTCCTGACACGATGACAAGTCACTTCACAACATGCTCCTATAGGTCTCTATCCCTTCCTAACATTTATCACACACCTATGAGGAATTGTTTGATTAAAGACTTACTTCTCTTCCACTAAACCATAAGTTGTCTGAGGTCTGGTCTACATGTGTCATGCTCATCATTGTAGCCTAGGGCTTAGCATGCAGAAACTGCTATTGAATATTAATTGAACAGATAAAAGAATCAAAATCAGGCCTCCTTGCTTGGAGCAAACAACCACAGCTTCTCATAATCTTTAAACCAATTCCATGTGACATACAAAGGCTCCTGAATCTTTTAGCAGAAACTAAAGACCCCATTTGAGCCCTATCAGGCAAAGAGAAGGATTTAGCTCAGCCATGGCATTAAGAATAATTTGGGGGCAGCTCTGGGCACTCTGAAGCTATATAAGGTGAGGCTTCTAAAAGAAACAATGAATAATAATAGGAATCAGGTAAAATGCCCATATTCCAAAGGAGGTAATGGACTATTTCTGCATATCAGGTTGGCTTTGGGCTTCAGAACTCAGAGGGATCCTGTGGCTTCCCCTGGTCTTGGCAAAAGGGAGAAACCATACGTTCCCTGGGGATTTTCGAGTTTTGATGGCTTTCCAGGAGACAGAAGACACACTCCCCATCTGGAAGTGGAACACATGACTTCTAAGTCAGGGTGGGGCTTTGTCATAGCTCAGTGACAAATTCAGTTACATAACACACATAGTCTCCAGTCAGTGACCTAAGTTTCTCCTTTGTACACGGCAGAAGAATCTATGGTTATTTCCTAGCAACCAAATTTGAAAGGCAAAAAGATTGTGCCAAGAAAACGAATGGTGTGCTTTTGTCCCCCACCTACTTTTTTTTCTTTCACCCACACACAAGAAATATTTTCCTATTTATATCTGATAACACCATCTGTTTTTATTGTGGGGAATCTTACCCATTGAAGAAAAGCAATAACTTAATCATTGTTAGTTGAACAGAAATAGAAACAAAGAGGGCCTTAAGTATCACCAACCTGTGTCATGGCCAGAGATGGGCCACCAAGAAAGGTTGAAAGAGGAATGTTGTATCTCACTTGCACCGTGATACTAGGTGGACTCAACAATCATGATCAGGCTTCTGCTGGGTGCAAGGCACTCTCCCAGATGATGAAGGCAATAGAAAGATCTCAGACTCAGACTTGAACCTCAAAAGGAGTTTATGCCTTGGTGAAAGAAGACACGAATGTAAGAAAGATCAAACAAATGGATTATAAGCTTGTGTCTTAAGGTAATATATGCTAAAGGAACAATAGTCATTGCATAGGAGTTATGAATTGGACCAGGAAAGACATGTAGGAGTTGTATAGGCTGGTGAGGGCCGAAGGGATAAGGGGCAGGAGAGATAGGGCATTAATAACAGGGCACAGCCGGGCTTGGTGGCTCAGCCTGTAATCCTGCGCCTTTGGGAGGCTGAGGTGAGTGGATTGACTGAGCCCGCGGGTTCGAGACCCGCCTGGGCAGCG